TGGGGTTGCTTACTGGCACGGAGGCCTCAGAACTGACGAGCCACAGAGGGGGAAGTGAGAAGCTCACCTGGACCACTATTGATAAAGGAGTGGAAGAGGGGAGTTTGGACCAGGTGGAGCAGCACCAGATGCGGCTATAGAGGCGAAAGAGGAAGGAAAGGGACGCCACCGCTTCTGGGACCCTGGGGGTTAAGAGGATCGTTACGGACGTGCGGGCGGCCTTGGGCTATGATAATGAGGCGGAGGTGCAGAAAAGGGGGGTGGCCGTGGCCCAAGGTCGGATATCAGGGGTAGCGGATGAGGAGGTCGGACGCGAGGACTACGGTGGGGAGGAAACGGGCTCCCAGGTCCTGACCAAAGCCCAGCGGAAGCAGCGCAACTTGCTGTTGGGAGGTCAAGGATCAGGAAAGGGACAGGCCCCTCAAGCAATTGCTGCACCGCCACCTGCCGCCACGACGGCGCCAGTGTCAGCAGGGCCATCGCAAATGGGGCCGCCACCGGCTTGTGGGCACTGGGTGCCGTATTGTCAGATAGCACCCTCGCCTAGTTGCAACCACTTTGCCAAAATCCTGCGGCTCAGGGTCAGTTTGTAGCCCAATCGCCACCCTCGCAACAGGCGTCGCAGGCTAGCGTGGCCGGAGGAGGGAACCAGGGGCAGGGCGGACAGGGCAATGGAGGCCGAGGCCAAGGGGGTCGTGGAGGCGGTGGCCGAGGCCGGGTAAGAAATGGCGGGGGTCGCGGAGGTGGATGGAATGGCCAAGGAGGCCAGGACCAAGGTGGGCAAGGCGGCCAGGAAGGGGGCCAAGGGTATGGAAGACCCCCCATTGATTGGCGGAATGCCACCTGCTGGCATTTTGGCTACCAAGGCCACACTATACGATTTTGTCAAGGGCGGCAGGACGACGAGCTCTCCGGGTTAATCTCCACCAACATGGATGGAGATATATATGATAAATATGGGAAGTATATTGACCCGAAGACGCCCGATGGAGTCAGGCAGGAGGCCTAGAGGCGAGCGGCGGCAGGGCCAGCACCCCCAGCCATGTTCTGGATGTGGCAGGAGAGAGAGGATCCGGCCGTAAGGGTCGAGGAGATTGTGGGAGAAAGTGAGGAGGTAACTCAATGGCTGAAGGCAGGGGCTATAAAGGAGGAGCCGATAGTCGTTGAGTCAGATGACGAGGGCCAGGAAGACGAGAGGGAGTCGGCCATAACCATCTTGGGGAAGATGGAGTATCTGCTGGGGAAAATGGGGAGGTACCAGCAGAAGTTGCAGGTTTAATGTGATGAGACCCGGGAGTGGGAGGCCAACCTCCCCGGAGTCCTCCTATATGACTCCGGGCCCGAAACTTCATTAGGGCAACTGGGATACTCAAGAGTGGCGACCGTGGGGGCGGGCCCCAGGTCAGGTATGACCTATAGACCCCCCACCTCGATTGGAAGAGTGCCACAGGCAGCGCGGACCAGGAGCCAGAACAAGGCGGGGACCAGTCAAGAGCCCAGCCAGGCACCCCCTCGAAAGGAACCTGAGCCAGGACGCAGGAGGGAGGTGGTGAAGGTTCCGGAAGAAGATGAGGATGACGACGAGGAGCATGAGAGGCTCCAACAAGAGGAGGATCGACGGACGGAGCTAAGGGCCAAGAAAAGAGGGGCCCAAGGGGAAGCCGAGCCAAACCTGCCTGACAGCGTACCTAAGAAGAAGAAGTACGCAGTTCGGTTGGAGGAGGGTTTCGATGTGGAGCGAATGGTGGATAGGCTCCTAGAAGGTCATAATGACCTGATGAACTTAAAGGATATTTTAGCCTCAGCACCAAGGCTCCGTGACGGGCTGAAGGGGCGACTCTCGCGCAGGCTAGTACCCAATGTCTATCTAAGTACGATCCTGCCTAGGGAGGTAGAATGGACTGAGGCAGGGACGGGGATGGGATAGAAGTGTGTGGCATGTGGCCAGGTGGATTTGGTGGTAAAGAACCAGAAGTGTACCGGGATGGTGGACACGGACGCAAAAATGAACATCATCAGGGAAAGGGAAGCAATGATGTTGGGGATGGAGATTGACCGTTCGGACCATGGTATGCTGCATGGCGCTAACTGCAAAGCGGCTTTTTGTGGTACGGCATCGAATGTGATTATAGAGATTGGGAAAGTACGGACGAGGACCTGCTTCTTCGTCATGCCAGATGTCGACCACTCCATCCTCCTGGGGAGATCGTTCCTGTGCGGCACAGAGACCTTGATTTATAATAAGCACGATGGAACGATGATCCTGCTCCTGTGCGATCCGGCCTGCGGGAGCTATGAGGTCATTACTTGCCGGAACACGGGGCCAGGGAGTGGGAGGAACAAACCCAACCTTGGCTCGTTTACCTTCGAAGAATCTGAGAACGAGCGGAGGAGGCTCTGGGAGGTGCCCGAGGAGGGAGGAGAGATTGAGGTGTCGATGCTAAGCCTTACTGATGCCAATAAGGCTATGGAAGTGGTGGCAACGCATGACATGGCAGCCCCTGAGGCCATTAAAGCGTTGAGGGAGCAGGTTCTGGAGAGCCCTCAGGTTGGAGAGGTGGAGCTGGTTTATCGGCTTCCAAGTGGAAAGGGAGGCCCGGCAATGGCACATGCGTGAACGGTAAGCCGACCTTTTTTAGGGGATGGCTTCAACAGGGCTCCCAAAGGCGGTACAAAACGGTAGATAAAAAGTGCCGCCCAGTTCCCTTGCTCGTTACTGAAGACAAGGAGGCCTACTATGAGCGGGAACGAGGGTTGATACGGCGCATGAGGGAGAAGGCAGCCAATGGTCTGTGCCGTATCAACGATGAGAACGAAGGGAAGCTGATAATTGGAGAGCCTGACTTTCTTTCGCCCCAAGAGAGAACTCTGATGGTGGGGTTGATGAAGAGATGGCACTGCGCATATGCATTCAGTGATGATCAACGTGGGAGGCTGGATGTGGACAGGATTCTGATGATTCGGATCCACACAATCCCACATGAGCCATGAAATTTGAGAGGTGCGCGGTACCCCAACCCGGATGAGGAGAAGATGGTGGTGGACTACCTGGATGGCAAGATGCGCACGAATGTTGCCGACTATTCCAGCGGGCCGTACGCTTCCTCCTCATTTTGTTTCATTAAGCCAAATGGGACGTTGCGATGGGTGCGAGACTTACAGCGGCTAAATGTCGTGACAGTGCGTGATGCGGGAGGATTGTCAAACGCGGGCGCATTGTCAGAGTCGTGTGCAGGAGGGCCTATAATCTCGCTTATAAACCTCTACTCTGGGTATGACCAGTTTCCTGTATACCCGCCAGACAGGCCGGTAACGGCGATGCATACGCCCAGGGGGCTAATTCATATGAATGTAGCCCCTCAGGGCTGGACGAATGCAGTGGCAATGGTKCAAAGGCATATGATTAGAGCCATTCAGACGGKCAGTCCACACATCACCCAGCCTTATATCGATGACTTGGCGGTTAAAGGCCCGAAGGAAAGGGAGGAAGACGAAGTGATGCCCAACGTAAGGCGTTTTGTTTGGAAGCATGTCCAAGACCTTGATCAGGTCCTCAACCTGTTGGAAGAATACAACCTTACGGCYAGTGGCCCRAAATCTAAGCATTGTATGAGGGAGGCAACCATCTTGGGTTTTGTCTGCAATGAGAATGGCCGGAGGCTTGATGTGAAGAAGACGGACAAAATCGTGGAATGGCCAATACCCTTCCGTTCGATAACGGACGTAAGRAGCTTCCTTGGCACTTGCGGATTCTGKAGAAGCTTCGTGAGGAACTTTGCCGCCAAGACTGAGCACCTAAGGAAGCTGGTGCGTCAAGACCAAGAATGGGTTTGGGGTGGAGACCAAGAAGACGCTGTGAGGCTGATGAAGGAAGAGTTTAAAGAAGGGGGTCTGGTGTTGGGGGCGCCAAACTACAAAGTCATTGAGGAGAAGTCATTCATGATTGAGACGAACGCGATACCTACTGCCTTGGGAGGAGTTTTGGTTTAGGCGGATGCTGAGGGGAAGGAGAGACCGCTGAGGTTTGAGAGTCAGACTCTTAATACGACTGAGAGGAACTACTCTCAGTTTAAAAAGGAGACGTTGGCAGTACTCCACTGCCTGAGGATCTTCCAAAACTATGTTTTTGGCAGAAGGTTCGTGTTAAGGGTGGACCCCACTGCGCTCGCTTGTTCCCTGAAGAACTATACTCCATCTGACCCAACCGTCGCAAGGTGGTTGACGTACATTTGGATGTTTAACTTTGAGCTGGAGAGGATTCCGAGGGACAAGAACATGGCAGATGGGCTGAGCCACATCAACTGGGATAAATCGGATCAGGAGTCGATAGAAGACACTCCGGCAGTTGATGGGTTCTTGGATCAGGAAGAGGATGTCCGCCTCCATATAAATGAATAGTCCTTGCGGGTGCCTAGTTGTGTCGGTCACCCCATATGGCTAGCGCCTAGGGGGTACGAGCAAAAGGAGGAGTTGGTCCTCAAGCCCTCCCAGAAGGAGGATCCGTGGGGGAGTAAAGATGTCCACTTGATGATGAAATTGGCATTGGCAGACACTCACAACTTGGCGGAGGAAGTGAGGACGATAGAGGAAGGCCCAACTTAGGTAGAGGAGCATGAGCAGCTGATGGGAGGAATGTATCTACTCACCAACACGCTTTTGCAGGGAGACTTTGATCAAAAGAACTCATTCAGTCCTATGGAAAGTGAGGACTTTATTCCTGAAAGCCGGGATGATGAGTTCGAGGAACGAAAAATCAAGGAAGCCTTTCGGGCAGAAGAGTATGATGGAATCTACTTGGAGTTGGGGCTACTCCTGTCTTGTGAGATGAGGGATAGAGACGCGAGTGCCAAGGCGAAGAAGATAAGGCACCTCTATGTGGTAAGGGATGAACATTTGTTCATAAAGCGACAGGTCGGGAACCCCAAAAGGATTGTATGTGAGAGGAACCGGCAGATCGATATTATAGCAGCCCTACACGATGGTATAGCAGGGGGCACAGAGGGATAGGTGCCACGTGCGCAAAGATAAGCGAATTGTACCATTGGGATATGATGCTGACTATGGTCATCAAGTACTGTCAGTCTTGTGTACCCTGTCAGGAGAGGTCGGCGCAAAGACCAGGGGAGCCTCTACACCCGAGGTTGGAGAGAGAAGTGGGTGTGGTTGTACACCTGGACCTGCTGTTCATGCCAGCTGGGGAGAATGGGTGTAATTACATCTTCGATGCACGGGATAACCTTACTGGGTTTGTGGACGGGCGGGCTATCCGCACAAAAACTGACCCAGTTTTGACAAATTGCATCGAGGAGTATTACTTGCGCTACCCCTTTGTCAAAGAGTTCGTGATGGATCAAGGATCGGAGTTCACCTGTAACGAGGTGCGGACCTTGCTTGCGGGGTACAGCGCAGTGGCAAACTATACTACTGTCGCACACCCTCAGGCGAATGCACCTCTGGAAAGAGGGCACAGTACCATCACGAATCTCTTGGCCAACTGGACAGAAGGCAAACCTAGTCAGTGGCGGAAGTTCCTGCGAGCAGCTTTCTTCGTGGAGAATGTCACGGTAAAGAGAACTACCAAGTACGCGCCAATCACGTTATGGTATGGGAGGCATGCCACCTTTCCCATAGAAAGCTTCATGAAAGCCTGGAGGCGCCACGACTTGGAAGTAAATCTGTCCTTCGAGGAGCTGCTCGATATCCGGGCTCGACAAGTGGGAGCTGCTGAAGAGAGATTGCGAGAGGCCACCGGTCAGGTAGAAAGGAGCCCCATGGAGGATAAGATGCGATGAGACTAGATGGCGCGAGTAAGGAAGGAGCCGTTGGCAGTGGGGGATGTCCTATTGCTATATGACTCCTCCTTGGAAAAACAATGGTCGAGGAAACTCGACAAAAGGTGGATGGGGCCCTATAGGATCTTGCGGTGCGGCGAATTCGGAGCTTACCGAGGAGCTGGACGGGACAGGATGGCAGGATTGGGTGTCAGGGACCACATTGAAGAAGTTTGTGGCCAGGGAATAGGTAAAGAATCCCACACCCCTCTGAGTAAACCCTTGTTTTAAGGTGTCGCATGTCCTGGTTAGGCTAGGCAGAAAATGGAAAGGGGTAAGGATACATGTGTTGTCGAAGACTTGATGGACTAATGACTGACCTTGTTGTGTGCCTGTCTACTTTCCCTCGCCTGATGTGCAGGCCCGACTTTTCAAAGACAGCCATGCCGAGGGGCGGGAGGGACGCACGGCCATGACAGAGGCCCCTGGGTGCGTCTGGAGGGGGTGGTCAGTGCAGGCCAGTTGGGAGAGAGTTCACTCCTGTCTTCGACGATGATAATGTAGAGCTCTTTCTGGATGCCTACCAGGCTCATGCGACATGAGAGGGATGGTCTACCCAGGAAAGGATATGAAATCTAAGAGGAGTTGGGCGTTTTGAGGAGCCTATCGCGCACATCCGAGAGGAGGCTTTGACCTGGCAGGTCGTGGAGGTGAGGATGCAGAGACTGAGGGCCTCGCCACCAGGACGTGATGGTTTTCCCATTCGGCTGGAGGAAGGCAATGCAGAGGAGTTCATTCCAGCCTATGAGCAGTATATGCGCGATCAGGGGACCGGGCAGGGGGAGTGGATGCAGACGTTGCCCTCTGGACGTGAAGGACAGAGAGGCCACTAGCGAGGCAGATTCGGGACAGAGCGCATGATTGGGAGGACTGCCAGGCTCAGCTGAGACAGGCATTTCGACGGCCAGAGCCGGAGAGACCAGAGCCCAGGGTGGAAAGACGGCAGAGGAGTAAGAGGCCACGTCGAGACCCAGAAACAAGGGGGGCCATAGCGATTAGGAGAGGCCGAAAGGCTTCGGCACAGCGGGAGGAGCCAGCGGAGCCAGTTCAGGCGGCGGAGCCGGCGCAGGCAGCGGAACCAGTTCAGGCAGCAGGGCCAGCTCAGGTAGCGGAGCTACCCCCTACTCGTGGACTTGAGCTAGTGGAGTTTTGCCAGATCACAGGCAGTGACCTACGGGGTCTGTCGCCGAAGTTGCCAGAGGAGAGGGAGGCTGTACTGTTGAGGATGTGGCTCGATAGGCTGGAGGCCCATCTCGATGTGTTCCAATGGGGGACTTCGCAGCTGGGAGGAGATCCGGTTGAACTGGCACAGTACGAGCCGGCAGAAGAGCCACCAGGCCCTGAGTCGGAAGCTGAGCCGCACGAGTCAGGGGAGCTGGGGACCGAGGAGGTTATTACCATTGGGGACGATACCCCTCCTCCCACCCCAATCCCGGAGCAGGTGCGGCAGTACTGGCCTGAGGGAATTCCTGAGCCGGATAGCGAGGAGATTCCAGTACCGCCATTGGAAACTATAACGCTGCCTCCGAAGCAGGCTGAGCCAGGGGAGCGAGAGGAGAGCGAGAGGGCGAGGATACATACGATTGTGCCACCACAGCTAGCTGAGCATGCGGCCGAGCACTTGGACACTGAGGTGCCGCCACCCAAGGAGCCACCGCCAGAGTTACCGCCTGCAGGAGGGGGAGTGAGTGCGGGAGTCCCACTGCGAGGGGGCCACGGGGCACGAGCAGGGAGGCCATCAGGGGAGACAGCTGAGGAAAAGTCCGTGAGGGTGCAGGCGCGCATTGCTGAAATATACGAGAAGAAAGTTAGGATGGAAGCTGCAGGAGAGGCGCCGACACCGCCGGTCGACCCCGGGACCAGTGAGCAGAGGGTTGGCGAGGCATGGGCTAGATACGATAGGAGGGAGGCCGCCCTCTTGAGGTCACGAGAGGCCGGACGCGAGGACGAGAGGGCGGACGAGGCATGAGAGACTGGGGACTTGGAATTTTCAACCGCCAGGATGGCGATCGAGCGTAAAGATAGGAGGATACGCCAGGCGGCGATCTCGTCGTTCCAGCGTTACACCATGCTTAGCGATGAGCTGGTGGTCTCAAGGTTGGAGGTGGAGCAGCTATCTACTCAACTCGCGGAAGAGAAGACGAAGAACCAAGCCTGAAAGTCTCGTATGGAAGCCAAAGAAGCTGAATGGGAAAGGAGGCTCCAAGATATGGCGGCAACTATGGAGAGACTTTCGGCCACCAAGGTGGTGAACTGGACGGAGCAGAGTCGATATGGTATCCAGGGAGAGGAGGTGCAAGGACTCTTTGGCTAGGGAGGGACGACAGGGCCACCTCAGCCAGGGGGGATGGAGAAGGTATTCTTGGATTCAGCGGAGGCGGAAGCAAGGCGGAAGGCCGAGGAGAAGAGTTTCAGCTTCAGAGCTTCCACGGAGTTGGCCTCGCAGCAAGTGACCCCTATGGCAATTGAGACCCCCGCAGAGAAGCCAGCGCAGAGGCCCCAGTCGCCACCAGCAGGAGGAAGTTCCGCGGAAAGGTCCCCTACGATTCTATTAGAAGTGCGGGGAGGCACCGTTACGGGGGCAGTGGTGGCCGCTGAGCCTGAGACGATGGAGGAAGAGGCATCACGCCTGGATGAGATAGTGGCAGCCATGGAGCTAGATATGCCATCAGGGGGGCCTCAGAGGCAGGAGACCCCGGAGCGTGTGCTGGAAATGGGAGAATTGAAGACGCAATGGGGCTCCTGGGCCACAGAGGCTGACTCAGGGGGGCGGATGTCGGAGCAGCACTAAGAGGTTATGAGTGAACCAGCGGCAGCCGTGACTCCTCAGCCATCAGAGCCGCATAGGAACGAGAGGGCGACTGTGATGGAGGAGGCCCACGAGGGGAGGCCACAGAGATTGGATACTCCGGAGTACAGGCCTGAGGGGGATGAGATGCGAGCGGGGCCAAGCACCCAGGCGCTAGGGATGAGATCAGAGGAGTCGTGGAGCATGCCCTAGAGTCATGAGGTGAGCAGAGAGGTCAGTGAGGCACCGTTGTCGCCAGGATCCCAAAAGAAGAAGAGAAGGTACCAAAGGAGGTCAGGTGATCAGTGCTTCTTCTGCGAACATGGCATACACAGAGCCCTTGAGTGTCCAAAGTTCCTCAAGGACAAGGCAGTTCGGAAAGTGACAGAGAGAGGTGGAAAGATGTATGATAGGCGAGGTCGAGTGGTAGAGCGAGCTCCAGATGGGGGTAGGGCTCAGCTATATAGACAAAACCAGGAGGTCATGAGTGAGTAGGGGCTGGTCCGTCTATATGTCAGTAGGACTAGAGTTCCTTCGCACGCAGAGGTCGGTTTAGAGGTGTATACACTTTGAGTTGATCGGGTGGATCCTAGAGGTGTGCATGCTTGGGGTCAGTCGAGTAAGTCCTGTCCATTTGTACATACATAGATGACAGTGCTTGATGGGTTTTGAGCCTTTTTTTGTGTGATACAATTTAAGAGATGAGGTACAGTTGTGTGATATGTGCGACTATCTGGTTACGCCTTAGATTTCTACCTGCATTTTTGAGTAGGTTCCGAGAGGTCGTAACACTCGGGACACGAGTTTACTCGGCAGAGCGAGACAATGGACAGAGTACTTTGTGTTGTTTTCGAGGCAGACATCCTATCCCCGAGTATATTCTACGAGTTGTACATTGAGGACATGAGTTCTCCTCAGTTGAGAGAGATGATGGGTTAAGTATTTGTACTGCATCCTTGGGGGAGATATTTTGCTCCCGAGTATGTTTTGACTTCAGACCCTGTGTGACTTATTCTGTGATGATCACAATCACTCCCGCACGTGTGGCTTTATCCCAATGTATGATGGCTTTGTGTGAGAGATGTGTGGGATACATCTCATATGTTTTGTGTTGTGTGAATGTGGGATACCGTCTACTCTTCGGTATACTCGTACGATCTGCCTATGGGCGGATGAAAGGGCCGAGTATAAGGGGAGGCAGTGCGCTTGTTTTGTGACAGGGGCGTGAGGATTCTAATGGATTTTGCGAGTCATTGAGACTCGAATACTTACCATGCCAGATGTTTTATGGTTGAGTTGCGAAGAGGGCCCATAAGCAGGTCCCTCAATTGAGTTGTTTCGAGGTTGAGTTGTGGAGAGGACCCATAAGTAGGCCTCTCAGTTTGAGTGGTTTTATGGTTGAGACCCCTTCAGATTAAGGAAGGTGGTAATGTTGCTTATAGGGAGACTCATCTTCAAAAGGAAGGTGCTTTGAAAAGGGTCGCGTGATAGCTCATCCTAAAAAGGGAGGGATGGATGGGAGACCTATTGGGAGAGACCCCCTTTGTGTGAAAGGTGGTTAATAGATTTAGGGGCATGATAAACAAAGTTTGAGTTGATAAAGTCTGATGAGAGGAACCAGGATTATGGTTTGGATCATTGGTGGAACTGAGAAGGTTGCAAGTCAGTGCATTAAGATGTCGTGGGATGTGTGGTCTGTTGTCTCTGATCAGGTCAGTAGGCCACGACCTTGTGTGAGCCTAGCGGTGAATTTCGTTRTGATCGTGARAAGGGGCCGTGCTTTCTATGTTGTCCCATAGGGAGCTGGTAAACACCTTTAARAAGTGAGACAGACCCCTGCGTAGTSCCGCAGCGGGCCTGTGGTCTGTTTTGCGACGCACCGTCTAGACACTTGTGCTAATMCTAAGGCATATTGAGGAATACCAAGCTAAACGGTAAAGGYTAGCACCTCTAGGGCGCAACCCCTATTGGATGGCTGCAAGCCAGCACAACCTGGCTGCGGACCCACGTCTACCAACGGGGTAAGAGTTTAASGGGTTATGCAYGACCCAGGGAATTACTCCGGTGGGATGGYGGGGAGTATAAGACGAGTCTTTCAGGAGTCCTGATTGAATGCTTATCAGGAAAAAACCTATCGTTGCATAATCAACGAAGGAACTACCGCTAAAGCAACAATGCGGTAGGCCGTAGATCTGGCTCGATCAACTAGACTATGGTGGGYCAGGATGAAGACCTAGCATTTCTGTACTAGACTGCAGAAGGAGCTGAGATGAGATTTAAGTGTATATATGTATATGTGTTTGATTGTGAGGATTYTCGGGAGSGAGGCAAGAAYGTCTTCTAAAGGTCTCGTCTAAGGCCCGCGTCCCTGGGGAGGGCTCCGCTTATGAGGAAGAGCCTAACAGGGGCACTCAACGAGAAGCCGGCGTTTGTCTARGGCAAGGGGGAGAGGATGGTTCGAGGAGGCCTCTGGAACTTATGCTGTAGTATTGATGGGTAATACACCAACGTCCTAATGTTAGGGCAGTGGGGACCCAGGTTGAAACCCTGGTAGCATATAGTTGTGTAGGCACGGATTGTTGGAACCTGAGTCTGTCGGCTAATCGGATTGGTTCCTTTCTCGTCAGCATTTGGGGATTTGGATGGATTTATAGTCTTTTGATTAGGCGAAGCCATGGGGACGTCGCTTAATATGGTCCGGTAGGTTGTCTGCGCGAATACCCTTATAAGGGTATACGCCCTGTTTTTTTGCAGCTGACAGAAAAAATGGGTTTCGTCGAAATAAGTCGTGCGAGACACGGCCGCGTTCGGGATTTGCCTTGGTTAAGTTAGGGGGTATGTGGGCGCGCAGTTTTAGGGCGCGCGTGTGATTTTTCCAATTGATTGGGCAGTCGGTTTGGTTGACCAACCCGAATTTTGTTACGGATTAGAGTAAGGAATACAGGATTCGTTCCTTTTTGGCAAGGTTGGCTAATGGTAGGCTTGACGTACGAGGCGGGGCGCGAGGTGGCCATGACGTAAACTAGGCAGGCCGGCGCGGGTACCCAGCAGGAGTGAGGCCGGGCTGTTTTCCCAGGTCCAGGCACGGCGCCACACCACCTTTTATTGGCTTCCGCGCGAACCAATCTCAGGCTTGGGCTTAGCCCTATAGGTTACGACATTGGACTCATGAAACAGAGGTGTGGGGATCGAGGCCAGCGAGGCGACAGCATGGGAGCAGCGAAGCAATATGGGAGGGACCGAGGGGTTGAGGGCCCGACGGGGCTATCCCCCTCAGTTTTGTTGCCGGACGCGGCGATGGACCCGACTTACGGGACTGGTGAGGTACCAACAGCCCCACGTCTTCCGTTTTAAGGTGCTTTTATATATATGCCAGTGTATATTTTCTATTTTTTTTAATTTTATTTTGGGAGGTTAAAAAGCCATTGCCTCAGAGGCGAGGCCGGTGTTAGTTTCGAGGACTGCGATAGAGTCAGGGGGTCTGACTCAGTCGGTACGCCTATGGGATAGGTGAGGGATGAAGCGAAGTGCCAGCGTGTGCGTGACCAGTGGGGGCTTAGCTCGTAAGTCGGAGGAAAGTTAGTGGTGTGGGTTATCCATGGGTGCCCGATTGCCCGCCGGGGCCTGGTGTGAGAAGGGTAAGTGTGAGCGTACCCGTTGGGGCCCTGAGAAGGCGGAGCGGACCAGCAGGGGCTCAGTGGAGGGGCCGCTACGTCGCAGCTGCGTGTGAGTCGTTCGATGGGCTAGGTTATGGGGGCGAAAGATTAATCGAGTCGGTTAGTGACCGATTTCTTCCTGCGCTTTTTCGAAAACGTCGGGGGTTGCGCTACTGGGGAGGCAGAGAGGAACGGGTTGGGCTGCGTTAGGAGCTGCCAAAAAAAGGCCGGGGTGACGACAACAGAAGTAAGGGAGGCGGACGCAGGTAGCAGGGTAGGATGAACCCGGGTGCGAAGCGGCGCCGGGTACGTGTGAATCCAACCAGAGATAGCGAGGTGTTGGGACGGGCGAGGGAAGGAGAGCATAGCTCCTGCGAGCCGTGGCGGAATCGAGAGAGGTAGGGTACAATCCCGGAGTTTTTGCCCCARGCGAATCCAGAGATAAGGTYAGAATGAGAGGAGGAGGAGTAGGGCGGGAGCTATGACGGAAACGAGTTGCGCGAAGGCGTCGACTAGGGGKAGGAAGGGGGCATGGAAGATCATYGTTTTYGCTCACTAGWAGASGGAGACAGGTGGGAGAAGATGGTAGACCGGGWATTTGGGGCCAGGCGATTCTGATGGTATGGTTAGTTCTKAGCGTAGTTGATTAGAATTAGAGCTTGATAGGGAAGGTTGCGCGCAGGAAGGGCGAARACCGAAGGAATGTWTCTTTCTGTGTTTYGGCGAAAGATTCGTTCCCGTGCTGCTCRTTTTTCAGGTGGAAGTAGGTGASGSCAGCCGTTGAGCAGGAGATTACCTAATGGGTCAGAGCCTCGCTCTGTGCGTTGATGGGATTGGTCTCGGCCTCCTTCCTGCGTATGCGGYYWKGAAGCCGGATACTTCACYGCGRCKCAATATAAGATTCACACGATTCGGCTCGTCTTGCTTGATAAAAGGGGGCTCAGCCACGAGGCTGAAGGCGTAYATGTCGRCAGTTGGAGAGTCCGACTAACGGACGGGGCATAGACAGAGGGGGCTGCCGTGCTCTRTTTCTCTRTGCACGTGGTCGACCCTGGTTGGTGGAGTGATTTGATCTAGTAGGGTGGAGTCCGGCTTGTTGTGCGATTGTTAAGGGTKGTGTGTTGTGGCTGTTGAATTTCGAAAYGATCATTGGTATCGAGATTTCTCGTCGYCGCCAACTATCCGCGACCGTTATTGCWGTTATATGCTGGCCCRGTGCWGTTGTCCCTTCTCGAGCCAYCGCTGATTTGTTTCTTTAAGGACCCGCTTCGRTTTTTTTTGCACTAACCAGGAGATACGAGCAACTGTGGGTGTGGTGCACTCGCATGCTAGGGGGCAGCGAAGGGAGCGAGAGGGAGGGAAAGGAAAGGGTGATGAGAAAAGAYGTACGGACCTGGACTTGGTGGTGAT